AGAGGGAGAAGCAGGCCTCCCGCTGAGCAGGGAGCCTGATGCGGGGCTCGATCCCAGGACCCTGGGATCATGACCTGAGCCGAAGGCAGACGCTCAACGACTGAGCCACCCAGGCGCCCCTAGAAAACCATTTCTAAGAAGGATAGGGAGATGACAAAGGAGCCATAACTTTAATTTTCTTCTGAATGCTTTTATGAATTCCTTATTAATTTGTGTAATGCATGGTGTGCCTTTAGGTATTTGCCAACGTAAAAATAATTGTCTAAAAGACTTTCTTGTAAGGGGAAAACAGACTTTGAGCGTGCTTTGTCTAAGTGGCGGACTGGCTTTGCTCTACTGCAGTTTTTTTTTTTTAAGTTATTAACAAGGGGAAATTGCTTCTATTGACCATTATGGCCAGTCCCATCATTTGGATTAGTACATCTGTTAGCTGAATTTCAAGACCTAAGGCTAAGAGTTTTAAAAATTCCAATTGTCTATGGCGCCTCGGTGGCGCAGTCGGCTGGGTGTCCAACTCTTGGTTTCAATTCAGGTCATGATCTCAACGTGAGATTAAGCCACGTGCTGGCTTAATGTAGAGTCTGCTTAAGTTTCTTTTCCTCTCCCTCTGCCCCTTCCCCCTGTACTCTCTCTCAAATAAATAAATCTTGAAAAGAATTTTAAAAATTAAAAATTCCAATTGTGGAGCGCCTGGCTGGCTCAGTCAGTAGAGCATGCAACTCTTGATCCTCAGGGTCATAATTTCGAGCCCCGCGTTGGGTGTAGAAATTACTTAAAAATAAAATCTTCAAAAATTCCAGTTATTTGGCAATTTTTTGGCCTGTCCCAGTTAAAAGAACTTGAATTCTGTAGATAAATATTGAGTACCTACTCTGTGCCAGGTCTGTGTGTGCTAAGATGCTGAGGATATACTTTTTTTTTTTTTTTTTAGATTTTATTTATTTGTGAGAGAGACAATGAGAGACAGAGAGCATGAGAGGGAGGAGGGTCAGAGGGAGAAGCAGACTGCCTGCCGAGCAGGGAGCCCGATGCGGGACTCGATCCAGGGACTCCAGGATCATGACCTGAGCCGAAGGCAGTCGCTTAACCAACTGAGCCACCCAGGCGCCCGAGGATATACTTTTAATCAGTCTTCTACACCAAGCATCTAAGGCTATTTTTCACTCTGCTTTTAAGAGTACAAGGGATGATTGTGTTCACGCACATGAATGTGTATGGACGTGTGCCAGAGCGGCTTTACATTCACCTAGGTTAAATTTTGAGTTTCTAAGATTTTGTATGAGTAGACTGGACATTTGAAAATGACTGATATGACATAGATCTCATTACCACTCTCCTTAACAACTCGGTGGCTCTCACAGGACAATGTCCAAACTTGTTAGCATACTGTCTCATAATTTTCTGCATCATCTTGTAAGAGCGCCAGTAAAGCAGGGCCTGCAAAGCCTAGCATATCCTTTCCAGGTGCTAGTCAGTAGTTATTTGCATTTGTTTGTTTTGGTTCTTTTAGTAGGTGTCTCCCATGACCACCAAGCCTATGAATACTCTACACTAAGATCTTTTTTCAGTTCCACAGTGGACACCTGAAGTGGTCCTTGATGCCATTTTTAACTTTATCCTATTGGTGTCACAGCAGAAAACAAGAGTCTGTCTCTTATACAGGCAAAGTTCTGAGAAATTATCGGACCATTTGTGTCACAGAAAAGCTGGGAACTAAGACATTCTGAAGGAAAAAACCCAGAAAGGAATGAGTGCAGCACCCTCTGGCTGGTCTGCTCCCACAACATAAGTGAGACCAGGGATTGGGTGATTAAAAGCAAAGCACCCCCTTTCTCATTTCTTTTCCTCCATCTTAAAGCACTACCTCTTAACTCCTCGATCCTCAGCAGAGGAATACAGCCAGGGCTTCCTGGAGACAAAAAGGGTAGATGAAGCAGCCAAGATGAGGTGGACCCGTATCATATGTATGACATTATGTGACATGTATCAGTGAATCTATGCGGGAAACTAAGTACTAACCCACCAGCCTCTCCTCAATCTTAATTCCAAGTCCTTACTGACAGAATAACCCTGACTATGGCTAAGAACTTTCCTCACCTATGTGAAAAGAAAAAATTTAGCCACATTGCCCCAGGCTCCTTTCACAAACACACAACCCACACCAGTAAGTGGGCTGATTATAAAACCTAACTGGGAATTCCCATAAGTTACAGTAAATATAGATGAAAATAAGCAGTGTATATGGAAACAAGTTCAGAATCATACCTTCTCAGAAATAATACCCCAATGTAAGAGCAAAACTAGATGAAACTAAGCAGTAAACACAAAAACAACCTCAGAACCACACATTCTTTCAAAAGTAACTTCCCAGTGTGAGTTAGTGTATGGCTCCAAGACCTAACACACCTTCCTTTGTTCAGGCACGGTGTTCTTGTCCCTCTGGGTGAGGGGAACTCGTTCCTCTAAGTCCAAACACAGAGATTGCAAGGTCACATAAGTGCTCAAATCCTATGTTGGATTGCTAGGCTATGGGGTTTGAACACAGTATATTCCTTCAGTTATTCAGAGAAGAATTCTGAGCCTGTGAGGCGAGTGGCAAGTTAATACCTACCTGGCAGGGATGCTTAGAGGGTTGGTGGCAATTTTATTTAAAAATATATAGAACAAGGGGCGCCTGGGTGGCTCAGTTGGTTAAGCGACTGCCTTCGGCTCAGGTCATGATCCTGGAGTCCCTGGATCGAGTCCCGCATCGGGCTC